CAGTTGTATGTAAAAGTATCTCTTTAAAGATTGAAAGATGTATTTTGCAAAACACTTACTCTTTCCATTGACCCATAGAGATGGAAGGAACTCAGTGGTTGCATTGCATCCCCCACTGGCGGTACTCTTGCAGTCTATTTTCCCACTGGCTTAATGATGATTTTGGGGGTGTTTGGTTGGTTGGGGATTTTGTTTGTTGTTTTGTTGTTTGGGGCGGTGGAGAGGGATGTTAGAGCCAAAGTCTGGGTAGAAACTAACAGCCGTTTGCTCTTTCACTGAAGAGCATTGAGTTGTTTTTCCAGCAGTTTTCTTCCATTGCTTCTTTCCCACAGCTACCCTCTAGAGTTGTCTTTTGCCCATGGAACTGCAAATACTGAAGCCTTTCATTGGGATGGTACTGTATCTCCCAACCCTATTAGGATATATCGGTCTTCTCTGCACGCCTTGCCTTGCAGTCAAAAGCTGTTTTGCTTGATCTTGTTTAGAGGTACACAGATTTATTTTTATTTTTTTTCCAAAATGGAGCATTGTTCCAAAGTACTTGTCTGTTTTACCAAAACATCTCACTTGAAAGATTCCTTCCCTCTAGTCATGGAGTTGGGAAGTCTAGGAGTTCTTGCCCTAATCAGGGCTCTCAGGATTTCCAGAGTCCCTCCTGCACAGGTAGTATTTGGAGTGCTGCATCGTGCAGGAGGCCATGAGGCTGTGTGGCCATGGATAGTCCTCCTGGTGGGGCTGGGAGCCCTATGGCTGACTGTGGAGCCACTGCCTGAACACAGAGTTGTGTCCTGAGTGTGTGTTGGAAAGGCTTAAGGAGAATTCCTTTCTTTTTACTGGTTCTGAGGGCACAAAGTTCTCACCACCTCTAGAGGTGATTTATCAGTGTAATAAATCTCTCTGATTTGTATTAGGCATATATTCTTTTAGCAGCCTCCTTTCGTAAATCATATATATAGCCATGACTTCAACTCTCAGTTAGGTACTGGATACAAACAGAATGAGGACCTGAATATTTTTCTTCCTCTTCCTTGTCCTCTGTATTCACATTTTTGCACTGAAGAGAGTAACTTCTACTAAGCAGTATTTGTAACAGTTCACTGAACAAAACTGTAAGTTATGTTTACTTAATTCTTCATAAGAAAACATGTTGATGTCTGTGCAGATTTAAATATATATTTGAAAATCTGCAGCACATATTCTAAGAATATTAATTCTGTTCTAGCGTTCCAATTTCATGTATGAAAGACAATTGCATGGAGATTCTGGACATTTACCAGCACACGACATTGATTCTAAATGTAACTGAACTAATTGTAGAGGGGAATGGATAAAATACACAGATACAGAAGTATTGTTGCGTGACTAATTCTATTGTGTGGTTTAATCTAGTTTCATCAAAAAGCCCATTGATACACAAGTCCTGCAATAAGAGATTTGTAGTTTCCAATAGATGTAGCATGCTAGCAGGTATAACAGTCTTTCTTTGATGACACCACAGTTATTTCAGAGCTTCTTCCATTGTGTTCACTGCAATACTGAAAAGAACAAAGTACTCGAAATGAATCACTGTAATTATTGTGGTCAATGCATTACCTCTTTAGATTCATGTTCAGAAGCTACCTTGCTGAAAACTCCTACAGGAAATGCTAATACACATTTTTGAGCTTATGATCAGAGCTAAGATAAGGCTGTTTCACTGAAAATTGCATGGAAAGCCTCCCAGTGAAATGCTAATGCCAGGTTCATCTCTCATAAGCAAGAACATCAGTTAGCTTTTTGGTGAAATTATTTCACCCACATTCAAAGACACATTAAAGTTGCAAAAACCATGACAAAATGTTTAAAGACTGTTTCAAAAAATACAGTGGTTTGGTTAGATTGCTTTTGGCTGTGGTTTCCAAGCGTCCAGGTTTGAACACAGGCCAGTATGGACCCATCTAGAGTAGTGATTATATAGGGGACCTTGCAAGGAGTCTGACTCTCTAAGAAGTAGTTGATGAGACACCATAATATTGTGATATCTGCAGCCCACACCCAACTGACATAGTGAAAGCATACTACAGATTCTTTCAACACCCTGATTTCTATCTCAAGTAAGCCAAGTTCCAGGAGAAAAGGTGTCCTTGAGCTGGCACTCACCTCTGGCACCCTGAGGTGAGTGGGTATGGACACCTGGGTCTATAGGTTCAGCTGATCTCAGGTGCCTTCCTTGTTTGTGTCTTAAGGCTTTACCTTTTTCTTTCACTTTGCCCAAACTTCTTGTTCACTTCACTCACTTGTGGAGTGCGTTCTTCACCGTGGTGTGGGTCTTGGCAGGTGTTTGCACCCCTTGCTCTGCATCCTGGGAAGGTCAAGTCTCTGCTCTTCCAGGCATATAATATACAGCAATGACCTGGCTTCTTTCAGTTTCTGACACACCTATTGCTTTTCAGGCTCTTTGGTTCCTCCGTATAATTCCTCTTAACTCACCCCCCTACAGAAAATTACTTTCTCTGGTTTGTGATGTTACGGATATGGCTATCTATGTCACAAGAAAGTTTGGAGAGCTGTCAGTGCCACCTTTCCCATTCCTTTATGGTTCATTTAAAAGAGCTCAGAAGAGCTGCTAATTTCTTTCTTTTTTTTCTTTTTTTTTTTTAAACTTTGCAAGATACAATTTTTACCATCACTAATTTTTCAAATTAGATGGAAGAGCTTTTGTGGCAAGTGTGACTAGTAATAAATTTTAGTGATGATTAATTTGTATCTAGAAATTACATTTGAATTTCAAGGAACCTTTTTCCAAGATAGTGCCCATGCATTTTTATTTCTGTAACATTTGTGCTTTCTGATCTTTTTCTGGCCTTTTGTATCTTTTTTGCCTCTGGCTTTTTTCCTTTGTTGTACATTGTGTGTTTTCCCAAATAGATCTCAAACAGCATTTTTTATTATACTGACAAGAACAGCAGCACCTCCGTAGACTGTCCTACAGCAAAGGCATGACAGAATAAATGATCATAAATAAATCATCTTACATGAGTTCTGTGCTCCCAGTTCTTCAGTTCCTCTCTCTAAGGGGCAAGTCCCCTGGCAAAACTCTGTCCCATGTGGCATTTGAGACCTAAAACAGATGCTGACAGAACATATGTGATTACTATATCTTAGGATTTAAATCCAAAACCCAAGCATGTGATAGAATAGACACTGGATGACATCAAGGATTGATGGACCACATGTTGCTTAAATTTTGTTTAGTTTTGCATGTTTTGTTGCTTATTCTGCGTGTTCAAAGGTCTATTTGGAGAGGTCACCTTTTTAATCACTGTATTCAGATGCTGCTTGTAGAAAGTCACTAAGCTGCTGTTCAGATGCCTCTGTACTTTTTTTGGTGTAATTTAAGCTGTCAGTTTGTGGGACAGAAATTTCGGTTGAAGCTTTTGCTGCCATTGTAGATATGTTCTCACAGAAAGTCACATTAGTTGATGATGTAGAGTGATGCCTACTAGCATATATGGTTGTTTGCTGCATCATGTTGACTTTTATGCACATGATCTCTGCATCTAAAAGATCCGGAATGGAGGAATATCTGATACAGTGTGTCATCTGCATGTTCCATTATATGTTTACAAGTTCCTATTTCATACTACTTCTAGGACGCCTTCTGATGCATGTTTAGTGTAGTGTTGTTGAGCACAAGGGGCTACATGTCAATACATTGCTGTAAAGCACTTTAGAGATGTACTCACAACAGTCCAAGAGTAAAGATAGTGCAAAAGATAAGCACATAGATCAAGCAGAGACATGCAAGTAGAGGACCCAGTGCATGGATAAGTCTTTGGTGGTGTTTTTATCTTAATTTATATATATTTTGGAAGTCAGGATTATCACAGAGGTTTATGGAAGGAAGTGTGTCTATTAATATGGTTTTGTTTTTCACACTAAGCATTGTTAAAATGCTTAAAATAGAGAAAGGACTTACATAGTACACATGTACATGGATGTCACCTACAGAGCTAAGTGCTGAGGTAGATAATACTGACACACATAAGGACCTAGAGGTGAAATTGGTAGCACCAGAATACTGAATACCTGACTGATATTACTAGGTTTTACAGCTCTTCAAACGATGGTGAAATAATCCTGTCAGTAGATGTATGTCTAATGTGTAATATTAATTGAAATATGTATCCAATCAGCAAATTCAATCCATGCTTTATTCTATAAAAAAAACAGAAGTATTTCTACTGAAATATGCTACTGTAATGAGGGAAGCCAAAGATCATAAATTCAGACTTTCAGCTACTAGACAGCTACTCCCCAGGGGCTATTGTCAGGCCAGCAATATGGCAATGTTGCACAAAACAGTCCTTTGCCTAAGTGGAAGGAAACAGTAGTGACAAATGTGATATTCATCTGAGCTTGTTATTACAGAGATCAGAGTCTTTGGCTGATGGGAGAAACAGACCTTGCCAGAAGTGCCAGCAGTCTAGTAAGGGAATGTATTAAATAAGCATCAATTAAAAGTATGCTCACAGAGAAGCAAATGTTTTGCCTTTTTTATTGTTTAAATAAGGTGGATAATTATAAAAAAACCCTGTTTAATCTCTTTAGAGCCATCTTTCCAACTGTTAGGGTCTAAAAGTATTTTGGAGTATTTCAGAATGTTCAGCATTTCAAACATTTTAGTAGAAACAATCATTATTGATAAACAGCTCATCACAGTGTACTCTGGAAGCTGTTGTGTGGATTCACTGCTCTCTTACCTGCTTGCCATCAGTGAGAGGATGTAAAACAGGAGATGCAGTGGTGTGAAAGAAAGAAGTGTCAGTTCTCCAAAGTATGATTTTGACAAATCTCATTTTCCTGGCTTGGAAGCCCCTGCCTACACCAGAGCAGAGAGCCGTAGAGCAGTCACTGCTAGTCACTAAGGTGTGCAACGCAGCATGTCCATCTCTGTAAATGAAACAGCCGTTGGCAGAGGCAGTTTACTAAAACCACTGACTTGTTGTACCCCCTTTCAGGTGGGATTCCATTTGTTCTCACTGGAGAGTTTTTCCAGCAGTCACAGCGGCCAGCTGCATTCATGATAGCTGGGACAGTCAACTGGCTCTCCAACTTCGCAGTCGGACTGCTCTTCCCTTTCATTCAGGTACTCACCATCCTCGATATACTGTGAAACAGTTGGTATAGTGTGACATATGATGTTTTCATAAGATTTTCAGGTCAGAATAAGTGTGTTTATTGAAGTGGATGAAATTCCCACCATGCTTGTGGTACAGCTCAGTTGTGCTACTCACGTTTCCTTGTTTGAATCGTCTCTGAGAAAATTGTCCTCCTATAGAAAAATTATTGTAACTGTGGACTCCCTGTATGGCAAGTCTTCCACAGGAGTGATTTAGCAATGCAGTGTGATGGCTGTGTCCAGAGTTCATGGTCACTGATGGTGATTGTCACTGCCTTTTTCTTCTGTCTTTAAGCTACCCATCTTCTGTGGTTTGGGAATCCTTACTAGTCTCATTGGGGAATAGATGCTTTCTGCTTCTCCCTCTGTCTAAGCCTGGCTTCATGGCTAAACTAGTCACATGGAGGACAGAGGCCAGTTTCATCAAGAACTGTCTGACAACCAGTGTTTTTATTTTAACAAGATATGTTTATTAAAAAAATATTTTACAAAAACGGAATTCAAAATTCAACATAGAGCAGCATTTTTCCTCTCTGTTTCCTAAGAACACTTCATCACTATTGATATGTTGTATAGCAAAGAGGCTTCAAGCAGCTTCTCGTTCAAAACCACACTGAGCTCCTTTTCCTGACCATGAACCTCTCCCAGGAACTGTCCACACTCTCTGGAGCTCACGCAGGAGCTAATTTTCTGTATCAGGAGCTGAAGGACAGCTGATCAGTCACCTGACTGACCATGTCCAAACTCTTTGAAGAGACCTTCTGCTCCACTGATTTTTGAGAGTGAAGCTCACAACTACAAGACAAAACAAAGATGTCCTAGATGGTTTTTCTTAATGCACAGAGGAAAATACTAGGGGCAGGGGAAGGGCCCAGAGCGGAGCAAGCCCTCCAGTCTACTTGCAGGTCCTCACACCCATGAGAGAGATTTTGGATTGCACTTCAAATCATCGCAGAGCAAGAGATTTGAATAGCAGCCAAGGAGGTGTTACTGCTGTTTGTGCCTTCTTACAACTGAAAGTTATATGCTACTGCAATACCATATGCATAACAGTATTTGCAGATACTGTAAAATTATATCATACTGTAAGACTTCATATATTCATTTTGATTTGACAAGTAGAACTGCTTTTAGTAAGTAGTACTGTTTAAAATTATCTGTGTGAGAGAGTTTATGGGAGAACTTGAAAGCTTTATAAGGTCTGACCCTTTATCTAAGTTTGGCATGTAATTTAAAATTTGACAATTTAAAATTTGTTCTAAAAGGAAAACGTCTTCAGTAATTTTAATTACTTGGATCACCTTCAAAAGTCAGAATGAGTATAAAGGCCATCATCCTTCCAAATTCTGCAGTCCTGCTAACATTAACTTCAATTAGACTGCTCAGCTCTAAGTCTTAAGAGCTTGTTTTAATGCTTACTGAAATCAATGAGTGTTTTTCACCAGTTTCACAGTGAACGATTTGCCATCTTAGATATTTAAGGTGAAACTTTTTTAAAGTAGGTAGAGACATAATTCTTCCACTGATGTCGTTAGAAGAGCTACCGAATGATAGAAAGAATCAGACAATTCCCTTGTGTTTTCTAAAACCTAACCTTGGTCGTCAGCATCAGTATGGTCCAGGAGACAGCCACAAGCTTGTCCAGCAAGTAGATGCTTCAGTGTGGTTTAATAGCTGTCTCTCCAAGAAGGTGGGGACTGTTTAAGTAGTGTTAGTCATCATCTTCCACCCCGGCTGGCCAGGCGTTAGACATCCCACTGCCTGCCTCCATGGCAGCGGGGCAGGTGACAGTGAACAAGGTCTCAAATCATATATGTATATATTAGATATGTTATGTTTTTACATCAGCCAGACACATTTCAGGAATAATTATGTCTTTCCAAAATGGCAGTTTCTGCTTAGTGCACAAAACTGAGGAGTTACGTAAACTCTGGCTGTCCATCAGATCTGAATTCATACAACTCGGGCCTCTCCCTAATTGTCCTGCTAATCCTTCCTGACAGATCACGTGGTGGGAACTGTTTAAAAGGCCCTCAGTAAATTCAAATAAAAAGGCATACTACATTCTCTAACTTTTCATAGGCGTATTAAAGCTTTTTGAGTGATTTGGCATGTATCCTCATGAGGCTTGTTGTAGCCTTGGGGAATTTATCATCTTCTGTCATAAAAAAATTCCCATTGTGTGATGATTAAATTACCAGTTTAGATTTAATAAAGATAAATTATAATTCCACCTTCTGGGGTTTTTGCTTCAAAAAGAAGTAAAGACAAAAAGCTTAGACTTTGCACCTAAAGATGAAAGCAGTGTTACTCAGACTTTGGTTTTAAAGCTTTTTCACAAGATCAAACTATATCTCCTCTTTCTCTAACTTCCACTTATTTCCTATTTCATTCAACCTTATTCTCAAAATTCAGTTGTGAGTCACCTATTTCTTTACAGAAAGGCAATAGCCTTTTCTTAGCTCATTTTTGTTAATCTAAAAAAGGAAGAAAATCTCTAAATGCCTTCACAGAACGAATGCATAATCCTTTCTGTGTCGATAAATCCTAACCTGATTGCTTGAAAAAGCAGCTACTTTTTTGATCACTGGTGTGCTTCTACAAAATTATCCAAAACATTTGGAAAACAAACATGTTAGCTTTAGAGTTACTCAAAAAATCAACACGTAGTTAGTTCTTCAAATGTCACCAATTAACTAGTTTGAATGCCTAGATTTTTCTCCCCTCAGCCATCTGTGGATACATATAATAGAATAAAACACTGGCTTGAGTCATACATTAAAATGTATTGATGAGATTGTAAAGCTAGGATACAAATCCAGTTTTGATGTAAATGTGGCTACTCTTCCAACCCTCATCACTTCCTATTTGAGAAAATTGTCTTTGCAAAGGATCCGAACTGAGGTTAAAATGACAACTGATACTATATTGAATTCACAAGTACATTGGATATTGTGTGATTACTAGGAGTTGTTTGACAGTAGGTGTCAAAAAATGCACATTTTTTACAATCTTTTTTTAGTGCAAAATAGAATAATTGAAATAGCATTACTGCATGTGATCTTGGAACATACAGAGAAATTATAAAAGATCTGGGTTTAGGTCTGAAGGCATTTCAGACTTGTGCTTAACGGAGAGCTTGACCTTGTGAATGTCAAACATGTCACCTTGAGTGACACCGAACAGTATCTCTTTTCCATTGCCGTCATAAGAGGATGAAATCATGAGACCTTTCTGAACAAGGATATGTTAAGAAACAAAGACAGATTTATAAGCCAGTAGACCACAGGTGCATGAAAGAGTTCATAAAGACATGATGACCCCTCCTTTCAAAACACTTCAGTACTCCTAAAGGTGTTAGAACTGGGTAGTCATGCTCCGTTATTTGGATGCCAAATCTCCAAATTTTCATTCCTGCAGAATATCCATTCTTGAGTATTTGGAGTAACTGAGTAAACGCTTCAGCCATCTGCCCTCCCCTCTGACTTGCATATCTCATGTTTTTGCATGGCACATGCATGTCAGAAGATCAAAGCAATCTCTAAACAACCTTCTGCTTCACTTCTGTGAGCAGTGGCATAGGGAGCTTCTCATCAGAATGGGGCCACAGGGCGTGACAACATTCATTGAGTCAACCATGTAATAGGAAAGGAATAATTTACCCTTTTAGGAAAGAATGCCTGAAATTAAAATTATGCTTATGTAACCTCGAAGGAATTAACATGCTTTATCTGAAATAATTACAACTTTATTGCTTTTCATTTTGACTTTCCATTATAAACTATGCTTTATTCTATACACTTCATACTATTAATGCACTGTGATTGGATTTGAATCGCAAATTTTTGTGAGCTAACCAAAATAAGTTTGCCATTTAGAAAGCTTCGATATTTGTGTGAACTGTTGAAAAGCTGATTGAATATCATCATATCTAAATAGATGTGTTGTGTCCTTGTTCTTAGAAAGACTTATGAAAGTGTTTAATTCTGGCAGTTGATTTAAAGGCTGCTTGCATTCATAAAGCTATCGAGGTGCATTCATCTGCCTTTGAAAGATCTGAATCTTAAATATCCAGTACTGGCTGTTCAATTCATGTCTGTTTTCTGTTGTTACATTTTTCATTGTTTCAATATGTAAAGTTGAAAATAATAGCATTTTCCCCTTGTGCATGTCTATGTTTTCACTTTCCTAAAAGATTTAAGATATATATATATTTATATTTTTTATACATATTTTTTATTAAACTTAATAAAAGTTCATGAAATTGCTCAGGGGAGAGATAGAAAATTAAAAAAGATGTGCAGTTATGCAGTGTGCTCTTCCACATAAATGAAATTGTTATAATAGATGTCACACTACCTGGCTATAATTTTTAAAGATCGTTTCCTTTCAGTTCTTGATCCACATTACAAAATGTATGTGATTTTCTGCTGTGTTGCTGGAATTTCGGCAGAAATGTTCCATTGCCAGCATCTCAAAGAAAGCATTTAATAGCTGATTGGGTGAAGTCCCAACTCAGCTGAACTCCCTCAAAACATCAAATTTTTCTGCCTTGTTTGCTCTTTGTGGTGATTCAGATGCTATAGATAATTCAGGTCAGCAGCAGGGCTTGTCTCAAAATCATGATAAATAATATTGATTCTTGCTTCAGCCCTGTATTGCAGTTTTGATGCACAGTGTAACAAATCACCCACTATTCCTTTTGTGACTAACATTCTCTGAAAAGTGTTTTAAAGCACCTGCTTGCTCAGAAGGCATATAAAAGCACAACTGTTATTTTTGATGTGTTCAGAACTAATCAGTCTTCGAAAATATGACTCTTTAATATATGAAATTATTTTAGAAAATGAAAAGGAGATGAAACCAAGCCTTCCAAAGGCTAGCAATTCTCCTGAGACTTCCAAACAATGCAGTTTCTTGAGATCTAAAATAAGCACTTACGTCATGGACATTTTGTGTACAGATCA